ATGCAGTGCGTCGTGCTCAGCGGCAAGCCCATCAACGAGCCCATCGAGCAGTACGGTCCATTTGTCATGACGACGCGCGCCGAGCTCCAAGCAACGATCCAAGACTACAACTTTGGCCGCAACGGCTTTGAGAACGCACCGGACTGGAGCTCGTCGATTGCCGAACTCGCATACAAGTAAGGCTGCATATTATTACTGTATTTCTAATCGATATTCCACCACATATTCTTGTGTTTGCGGTGCTGCACTAGGGCGGGTAGGGTTGCAAATTGGACGTGGTCGCTCGACCCAGCGCACGCGTCTCCTTTGACACAAAGAGGCACTCCACTACTCGCTCTTTCTCAGTGCTTAGAGAGCGGAATGGCGTGCTTGAAGCGACCGCAATCGTGTGCGGTTGGCAGCATGAGGAGGCGCCACGTTTTGGTGTCAAAGATGTACCACGTGTCCTTGTGCTGCAGCGAGAGCAAGCCGGCCATGATGCCCGAGGACGAATCGAGAAAGAACTCGTCGCCGTGACGCCAGTGGGTCCAGCTCAGCATGTACAAGCTCTGCGCATTGAGCAGCAGCGTCTTTGGCAGCGCCGACGCCAAGCGCGGCACGCGCCAGCGCTCCACGGCGTACGCCATCAAGACGCAGCCAAACGCGATGCCGACGGTGGCTTGGAGACGTGCGTAGCTGCCGATAGCAATATAGCCACTGGTGCAGACAAGCGCCGCGTCCATGTCGCGCGCGTCGCAGGCCCGCTGCAGCTTGCCGGTAGGTGCGAGTGGGTGGATGGACGTCACGCAGATGAGAACGAGCCACGCGAGGTTGGAGCTCTTGAACGCGTAGAGCGACGTGTAGTGGTGCGTGGCGCAGCTCAAGAGGTCGTTGAGCACGTAGACGAGCCACGTCACTTCGGAGGCGCCAAGGACCGTCTTGTACCACGGCAGCTTGGGCAAGGCAAAGTGCGTCACCGCACCGACTTGAACGACGTCGGCCACGCTCGTGTTGAGGAGGCAGAGCGCCGTGATGCTGCGCAAGAGCAGCAAGGGGCGGCCAAGCCACACGAGGCCGACGACGCGGTTGATGCAAAAGAGATTGCGGCTCTCGAGGCGGCCGCGGGAGCGTAGCGCGTTCAAGAAGACAAGACTCATGATGAAAATCATGACGATCGTGACGTACGCGACGCCCTGCTGCAGCAAGGCGGCGTAGCTCGCTCGTCGTTGCGCGGCATCGGGCGCCATTGCGTTGGAAGCCGTGCCCCCCGAGATGGTCGTGATGGTGCCGGCGTCACCTTGGAAAGAAACGACTTCGCGCATGCCGATGGCCCACTCGTAGAGGCTGCACCAGCCGTAGAAGCTCCAGCCGCGGTCGTCGTTGTCGAGGAGCGGAATCAAAAGCAAGCTACCTGGACCTAGTTGACCCCCAACGGCGTACTGCACCAGTGATATGTTGTGGTCGATAACGTCCGCGTACAGTAACTTGGCCGTGTGAGCTAGGGACACAAAATCGAGAGCGCGTTCCAGTGAAAAATTGTAAAAGGTAGCATAGTCCCCCGCGCAGTTGGCGACGATAGTCGTGTCCAACGCGCAAATATGGTTGAGATCCGAGGTGGTGTTGAGGGCTAGGGTCATCTCAAAGCCGAGAAACGCAAAGAGGAGCTGGAGTCGGGACGGAAACATGACTTCGTTGGCAATGAAGCGACATGGACTCGTCGCTGTAAAGAGACTGTAGAGGCCCGTAGCACCGGATAAGAGTCCGTTGTCGATACCACAAAAGAGGTTGCCGCCACCAAGCAATATCGAGAGGTCGTCGAGCAAGAAGCGTGGAGATGCGACGAGATTGTACTTGACAGGCAGCGACAGAAACGCAGTTTGGGCGTTGGGGTCGCGAAGGAGGAGGGAAGCTAGGGCACTACTGACGCCGGCGTAAAACTCGAGGAGAGACGGCGGTGGCATAAGGTACACCATGTCAATGGCATTGAACGGACCCAGAGACGACTCGAGCGACGCAATGTCGCTCGGAAATGGCGACGTCAGAGTGCGATTCTCGACGAGAAGGCCCCAGTTGGACACGTTCCGAAACGCAAAGTTGGCGCTGCCCCGCAACAAGCTTCGGCCACTGATGCTTGTAGTGTTGGAGCTGACGGCCCAGAGGTCGCTTGCGAATGTCCAGTACATCATGTAGGAAGTCTGGTGCTTGGTATGCATCGAGGCGGGTATGTAACTCAGGGCCAGAGGGTACGAGAGGCCAAGCGCCGTCTCGATCGTCAGCGCATCGTCGAAACCAATCGTCTTGTAGTTTTGCCACTGCAGTGTAAAGTGAGAAATCTGGTGCTGACGCCACGCACGGACCTCTTGATCAGCGGAGAGAGCGGTGTCAGTAAGCGACGCAAGCCATTGGCGGCCACCGAGGGCTGTGGACAGCTCCTTTCCAAAACCAACATCAAAAGAATCGCCCCAGCAACGATCCCAAGCAGCCCAGTCGTTGACGTTGCGCAGCGGAAGCTCGAGGTACACGGCGCCGTTGGTCATTCTGTCGGAGACACACCGTCTCTGTCGACCTTGCGTGCTTGCCATCTCCCACGTTTGGTTGAGGTCGAGCCAGCAGTACTGCGTAAACATCCACGGCAGGAGGCACGGATCCATGCGGCGAAGGTTGGCCACCGCAATCTCTAGTGTTGTAGTCGACTGGAATAGCGCTCGACGAGCTACTGTGCTGCTCCAGATGATCGTGCCTTCGGACCCGTTGTAGAAGCGAGAGTGGTCGAGAAGACGGGGGTCATCGAGGTGCAGAGGAGCCTCGGTCGTCGTGAGCAGCAGCTCATTAGCCCTTGTTGCCAAGTACGCGTGCGTGCTCGAGCTGTTGAAGCCACCCCAGAAAAAATCGTTGGCGAGACTCTCTTGAATGATGGAGAGAAACGCAATGTTGCCAAACAGCGTAAACGCAGTGTAGCCGAGACCAAGCAGCAAGAGGGTGTGGTGCGTCCTAGACGACGGCTGGACGATGACGCGAGTGCCATGAGACGCTACGTGGACAACGTCAATCATCGGTCTTGTAGGACCAAGATCCAGTGACAACCACCGCGTGACGTCAAAGACACCGCATCGAATGTAAAGGAGACCCCCCATGAACGCTGTGACGGGGTTTGTAGTTCCCGCCTCGCTGTTGAGAAAGCAGGTCGACAGTCCTGTCCAAAGCGCACTTGACGCAGACAGGGATGGCGGACTCGGTGCTGTGAACAAGGTTGCTGCCATAGCTGCGATAACCGCACCGCCAACGTTGATACCAAGGACAATAAATGTCCGCGTCCAGTGACCGAGAAAAAGCTTGCCGCTGTCGCAGAAGACAAAGTTGACCATATTCACCGTATAGCACATTTGGTCCATCGATGCCGTCGCGTGCACCGGCGCCAAGACGTCGAGAAGAAGGACGAGTAGCCATGCCATGGCGGTGCTCACCCCGGCTGAGAGGCGCGTCATTGATTGTGTCATCGGATGCAGCAGCTCTTGCGTAGCGTACGCTAACCACGTAGTTTCACCGGCCAAAAGCGCAGAGACCCAGATGGACCGTGGCACCTCCTGGAAGGCGACGACGCCGAGACGCGTTGTTGCTGCTAATGGCACTGACGCGAGGCAAAGTGCTGCTGTCACACCGCGCAAGACCAAAAGACTTCGACTCAGCCACGTGGAACCCGCGATGCGGTTGAAGACAAACCAGTCGCAGTCGTATGGTCGATACGCGAGCCAGAGAGCGACGACAACGAGCGCGACAGCAAGCAAACCAGCTGAAGTGACCGCGGCGCCGTACCAAATGTAGATGGCCAGGCTGGAGGACATTGACGTTGGTACCGGCGTCGGCTTGGAAGCGTAGACACTCGACATGATGTGCCACGTCGTGACGTCGCCTTCAAAGGCCACGACCTCCTTGGTGTGCGTGACCCAGTCGTAGACGCTCATCCAGCCAAAGAAGGCCCAGTCCGGCGCCAGCAGCAAATGCTGCGA